TGACAGGACTAGCAACCAGAAAGTCCCTAAGATTTAATTCTGATTGAAGAAGTGGCAAGTCAGGCCATGAGTGTAGAAACAGCAGACTAGAAAGAGTTATACAAGTCATAAGAACTTGAGAAATCTATTCCTGAAGAATTAGCTGTATAACAGTTAGCTGTAATCTCAGACCTTTTGAAAGATGAACAAGATCCCAAAGAATTCAGACAGACAGACGTGGATCTGGAAACTGCAGTCCTCAGAAGGATTCTGGGACAACTTGAGCAGAAGTTTTTGATTTCAAAATACTAGGAGCCTAAGTAAGAGACCATTTGGGTTTGTTAAGAACAGACTGGACAGCTCTCTCCAACTTCTTTCTTTGACAAGCTATCCAACTTCAGGGCTAGGGGGCAGGCAGTAAATGTAATATCTTTAAGCTCTATTCCATCATTCCATGACACCAGTCAATACTGGTGGGAGATATCCCCTGGGATCACATTTCATCTTATTGTGCCAGAAAAGCTGTGAGGAACCGTAACTAGCTTTACCATACCTCAGAAGATCAATAGTGTTGCATTCTGGTACTTACCTAAGATAAAATAGAAGTAACGTGGTTTCTCCTTTGGTTTTTATTGTGGAGAAGGGGGTGAGGAAGACAACCAAAGGGTGACAGAATTTGGACAGCATAGTTAAAACTTCTACTAGGTACAAATAGAAACTCAGGTGGAACTTGCTACAGATTGACCTGGCAGGCTACAGCATTCTGCTGACATTTCCCCTGCAGAGGGGCTCAAGCACTGTGGGAGGGTCGTTCCTAAAGATTTCCTAGATCAACAGGCTGACCTCTAAGAGAAGCCACCACTGAGGACTAGTAGAGAAATTTCTCTTCTTCCTCAGGCATTATTTTTTATTCATTCTTCAAAAGCATACAAAAATGTAACTTGAATGTCACAGAAACTCAGTGACATCAATATTCAAGAAGCATGACTGACAAAATACTATTGATAATACTATTCCTCCAAAACAATGGTAGCTATGGATCACATTTTGTCTGTGACTACTGGAAACATGCTGAGTGATTAATAAGCACTTCTATTAGTAAAAATATTCCTATGAGGATGTGATGCTTAGAGCATTGAAAAAACACCACTAAGGTGTTAATGATACCTGGAAGATACCGTTAGAACATTCTGATTTTCTTATCCAATGACACTCTCCAATCTAAATGTTATATGAGCATTCCAGTTTTCCTTGTACTAATTTACTTCCCCAGTTTGTTACCTGATTTCTGCACGTGTATGCCAGATCATTAAGAATTGTAACACCTGTTTGAGGAGCCATTTGATTTTCAGCATTTGAAGTTTGAAGTGGTTTTACAGTAGCAGCACCTGGGGCAGATTATAATGGCTTGTATTAATAAGTAGAAAGATTTATTATCTATTAATAACTTTAAACATTAGAAAACTAATACCTCCTTTTGAACACACTTAAGTAAACAGAAGAAAATCAGTTTCTACAGGCAAATTATTACACTCTGTAGCCACAAAACTAGCTGTGAAATTCAATGAAAGCCCTCTGTTCAGTCTTCTGCAGTGCACATTATTACATTCTCAAAGAGAACGATGCTATCATTTGCAGTATCAGTGACAGAACACTCAATCACTACCCAAGTCTGGTAGCAGGCACAAGCTCGCCACCAAGTTGAATTTGAAGTTTTGTTATTAAAATACTATTAATCTAATTTTACAGATGCTACTCAAATTATTTCTTATTTTGATTACTTATACTCCCAACTTTATAATTGAAATAGTATAGTATTGAAATTGCAAGATCTCAACCTTCAGTTGCTTCATGAAATAAACCTCTGCTGGTTTATTCTATATGGTGGACCCTATTCTATAACATCTTAATGTTATATAATAGAATCAACACAGCAGGTTTTCTGTGCAGAGCTCTATTAAGTGAGGATCCACTTAAAGATCAGATTAGCTGAGAGAAACGAAGCACACAACAGCTTCCTTCACTATGACAAAACTCACTGATTGAGGTAAAAGATTAATTTAACTTAGGTACACCTCACAGCCAAATATCTGTAGCCTCACCTTGCAGAGAAGGATTCCAAGGATCGTAATTCTGCAGCCAGCTAAATTGCAAGAAACATCAGTTGTTATTAAGTAACCTGTCCCCCGTTCCTTCCCATCCACCCCCAGGAACCTTTGATTTCCTTACACAACCATTGTGCCTAGAAACATTACCCTAAAATACTCAGGGTAGTTACAGGACCCTTACTGTTGTACACTGACATGTACTGGTAGTTTCGGATTCTCAAAATGAAAAAAGCTCCACAGTACACAGCAAGAATTGGAAATAAGGTTGGTTTTATCATTTGCAGAGGAAGCATCTCATGATAAGCACCAGCTCCAGCACTTCCAACAGCTAAATGCTAAACTCCAGCAGACCTACTCTCAGCAAAGTAGCAAGTACAAAGAACTGAACCTATGTATGATGGTCAACATGTCTCCAACACAGACTTCAAATTCAAATCAGATCAGGAACTGATATTTAATTCCACTGCAGTTCCAGCTATTGCCATTAACCAAAAGTCAAGGAACATCCACATCAATTATCAGCAGAACTGTGCATCCAGCAGGCAGTACACTGGAAGTACCTGCAGCTACAGGGTGATGTACATCCAACTGACACACCATCTTAAGCATGCAATATTTGACTAGTTGGATGCCATTAGCATGGCCAATTGCTCCAGCTTTCAACTAACGAAGTTCACATGTAGAATCACAGAATGGCCTGTGTTGAAAAGGACCACAATGATCATCTAGTTTCAACTCCCCTGATTACGTGCAGGGTCACCAACCACCAGACCAGGCTGCCCAGAGCCACATCCAGCCTGGTCTTGAATGCCTCCAGGGATGGGGCATCCAAAACCTCTTTGGGTGTAGTAAATCCAGGGCAGGTTTGTGAAGTAGAACAGGCTATGCTATGATTTTTAATTTATTTTAAAAATAACAGACAGGAGATGAATCAACTAGGTGTAGCATTTTCCTTTTCTTAGGCCTCCTTCACTGAAGGCACTGCATTAGAAGCTTTCTCAATATACCCTCCAAAACAGCCAGCAGATATTGAATAGCAAAGAATCATTCTTAAGCTTACACCCACATTTCCCAGCAATAACCACTGGTCTGCCTCTCTTATAGTACAGCATACCCAAAGAAAAAAAAAAATACAAACACCCACAACTGAACAATAGGTAAGTATTTCAGTAATTAAGAGGTGTGAGAGAATTACCAGTACAGCTGTTGCAGATTCTCTTGTGGTTGTGCCTGGTTGCGAAGACCTTTTTGAACAACAGATACTGCACACTGCACGAGGCCTTCTTTTACAAGCTGCTGAGCCCAAGCAATATAGAAGGCAGAGGTGTTTGTGCCAATTCCCTGACCACACAGGTAGTCAAAATACACGCAAGGAGGGTTGATGAACTCTGCCTACACAAGACAAAGACACATAACCCATAAGCTCTTCCAAAAGCATTCAAGGAAATCACAAGCAAAACAGAATAACAATTTCTTTCTTACCATAGTAGGAAAGCATTGTTTTCTAAAGATACAAAAGCAGTGCCTTTCTTGCAGTGCAAGTAATTGGTGGCCAGATGAGCCAGAGGAAAGGCGATCCCCTCCAAGGATTTGTGCACAAACACAGCTTAGGAAGCAGAAAGGAAGAGCTGCGAAGAGCTGCTTCCAGCCACAGACCCACCAAGCGGGATGATAGCTTTAACTTCTTAGGACAGCTGAATTTTCTTAAGACCCTAACGCCTACCAGCTTAATGCAGCGGTTCACGAATCTACCGTCCTGGCGATACTTCTCGTCGGTCAGGAACGCCTTCACAAGCTGCTCCAGGAGACGCGGCAGGCGCTTCTGTTGCTCGTGAGGCGGCAGCGAGCCCTCCACCCACTGCACGTACCTGAGAACCGAACAGGCGGGTCAGAGCCGAGCCGAGCCGAGCCCCACAGCGGCGCCCAGCCGCCGGCACACCGACCTGTCCCACGGCTCCAGCGGGTCGTTCCCTTGGTAGCTTTGGATCTGCGCCTCGTAACTTCTGTAAAACAAACAACGGTCTGACCGGGCCGAGGAATTCGCGGGCTGAAACCCGTACGAAATCCCCGCTCCTCGGTCAGTCTGTCAGCCCGCCCCGCGTCCCGCTCACCGCGCGATCTTCTCCTCAGCCATCCCTGCGCCTCCCGCCCCAACCGCCGCCGATTTAAACTCGCCGCGCATGCGCAGTAGGCCCAGGCAACGCATCGCCATTGGTTCCCCTTCCACCAATCACATTCACCGCCGCCGTCAAGCCCCGCCCCATCCCTCCCGGCAGGGCTTCTGCGCTCCGTCGCCCCGCCCCGCAGGGTTTGTTGGCAGGGCGCGGAGGGCTGGATGTCCGTGTAATGCAGCTGCAGGCCTGGGCTTTGCGATGCTCCAGATTACTTGCTCTGGAAGCTACAAGGGCAGATCACGCCCGAGCAGTCTGGTGGACTTCCACAACGCAGCAGAACAAGGGACGGCAACTGATGTCACGTGCACAGCCTTTAACAGTCCCCAACCACAGCCTTATCTCTGAGTGGAGAGAGATGGATTTGAAGTCAGTACTAAAGGCTGAGGAGCGAGATGGATGGACACAACCAGAAGGTTGAAAGTCCTTATTTATGTGCCCAGGATGCAGTGTCCCCCTGTTGGGACCAGTGCTCTTCAGCATCCTTATCCGTGACACTGATGGGCACAGCAAGTTTGCTGATGACACGGAGCTGAGTGGTGTGGCTGATACAACAGAGGAAGGGATGCTACCCCAAGTGGATCTAAGCAGGCACGAAGAGAGGGCCTAGGATAAGATAATGAGGTTCAACAAGGTCCTGGCACTGCTGCCCAGAGAGCTGTGGTGCCCCATCTCTGGAGGTGCCCAAGGCCAGGTTGGATGGGCCCTGGGCAGCCAGCACATGGCAGGGGTTGGAGCTCAATAGTTTCCCTTCTGTACTTGTATAAGGATCCTAGCCTCTGTCTCCAGCTCTCAGGTTACTGACGAACACAGGTCATCATCAAGTGCTCTGCGTATGTTAGCAGTTCATCACACAGCGTACCCAGCCACCTCCCATCATTAAACAATAACAGATGTCAATGATTAACTGCTAAATTTAGTGTACTAACAAGAACCGTTTAATGCAGCTTACTTTGCTCCATATATGCATATAAAAGTGCTGTAATACAAGATTCCAGTTACAAGGAATAGGTATTTCATAACATATTGAATACTGCACTTGACTTGCACAACCAGATACACAAACCCTCCATCTGCTCTCCTGTGATAGCATTTCCAGTTTCCACATCCACGTGAAGCTTTACACAAGATAAAGCTCCTTTACATGACAGTGCCATTTCCTGCATCAGCTGCCCCTTCAACTGTTTAATCTCATCCATGATGTACCTGACCACAGTGACTGAAGGCAGGCAGCCAGAAAATGTGCTGGAGACCTGTGCAGCTGAGGATTAGCTCCTCCTTGTCGACCACTGTGTTTTTACCCTGAGTTACACAGCTCTTTCAGAAGTAAGATCACCAGGTACAGCAGTGGCAGGGGACAAGTTTAAGATCTCTTCAAAAGAAGGGCCTTCATCTTCAAGAGGTATCTCAGCCTCAAACATACGCTGAAGTAGAGCATCAACTGTCCTGTACCCTGGAGGTGGCAAAAGAGTCACTGTAAGCATTCACATCTTTTTTTTTCCAGCATAAGCACCTACATTAATAGACCTCTCACTCAAAGGCTGCTCCCAGTGTTTTACAGGGGCAAGAAAACAAATGCCTCAACTGATATTTACTGATATTTTAGTCTGCTTTTCAACACTTTGAGCACTTGTAAAGAATAGACTCTTATTTTAAAGATTCAGGTACTTCTATTCCCACATTTCCTTCAACAGATTTGTGATCCCAGCCAGCTGGGAAAGTGAGAATCATGGGTTAGAGGAGCTGCTAAGGTGCAGCAAGAAATATAGCAGAAGAAAAAAAACAAGCACTAAGCTAGAGGAAAGCAGTGGATAGTCACCCCATGTCTAAGCCAGGAGGAGTATGGAGTGCATTCAGGAAGGAGAGAAGACGGGCTTCTTGGCAATAGCAAGACCTCAGCCACCAAGACAGTGTCTCCACAGACTGGCTACTGAAGACAAGCACACACTGTAAGAGAGAGGAAGAAAAGCTGCTCCAGAAGTAAAAAGAAACAGCAGAATCCACAGTTCTCAGCACAACTCTAGCCAAGTTTTAGCTGCTTTTATGGCTCAAGGAAAGCAGAAGTGCTTGGGAACTTCCTCAGAGACAGGGCAACTAACAGGGACAGATCAGAGCCTTGGCCTTCTGAACAAGAAAAGTAAGACATAGCAGCAGTCACCATACCTCTGAAAGAACCTGTAGGGCAACACTTACGTTTGGAGGCAATTTTAAACACCAGCCCTTTAGGCTGTGCCTTTGTTCCACCTTCCCCCTCGAGGTCATTGTCAGCACTCTCCATGTTATCAAGGAGTTGTTCATCCTGGAGCGCCTCCCTGCACAAGAAAGATCAGAAGTTACCCTACAGGGGCCCACATGTACCCACCAGCAATGCATTCTCTTGGACCAGGCAAGCATCACAGTCGTGCTGTTAGACTCCAGCATCTCCTGCCCCCAGATGGCAGTCTAAATCTAGAAAAACTCAGCGAGGCAGATAGTTCAGTGTGTTCCCACCTCCAAGGGGAAAGCAAATTACTTTCTACTACCATCCCTAGACCAAGACCTTTAAGGTCACAACAGATTAGCAAGATCTTCGTGACAAGGAAGAGTAGTCTCAGTTCACACCCAGAGATGGAAGGAAGCATCTCCCGCAGTCCCACTGCTCTCATTGGAGTTGCCAAGCCAACCACACCCAGCACTACTGTTTGAGGGGGCTTGCTTACTCTTGAACTCCCATTCCCAGCTCCTGGATTTTTTGCTCAATGGCTGTCTCCACTTCACTCTTCTCTAGGGAGTACTCCACAAAGAAAGCTTCCAAGATGAATGACACAAAGATGCTGAAAGAAATGAGAAGTAGAATCACATAGCAGCTTTTCCTTACTGGAAACCCTCCAGCTTCAAACATCAGCTACTCTGATTAGACAGGCTCATAGCCCAGCTCTGGGTACTGAGGGCTTATGGCAACATCTGCTGGAGATGAGCTCTAAGGCAGAGCACCACTCAGTGGAGTTAAGAACATTTGCAAGAGGTTCTTCAAAGAGAGGGGCAGGACACGTGTCAGAGCAGCACACCGTACACAATCTTGGGATCATAAACACTGCCCTGCCAAGGGTCACAGCCCCTCTTCACTCCACCAAGGATAAGAGAAAGCCCAAAGAGAAAGCTAAAAAACTTACTTGACAATAATTATAACCATCACAATGTGGAAGGCAATGAAATAAAGCTTTGCAGGCTGAGCAGTCACATTGGCAAATCCATTGGCAAAGAGTACAAAAGGAATTAAGGGCAAAATGACAGAAGGAGAAGATCTTGCTCTATAGTAGTGCTAAGGGAGGGACCAAATAATACTACTTAGCAGTAGCATTCAGGAGTAAGAGAATGGCAAGTCCTGTGCAGGAACATTCCTCCATTTTGGTTTGACACTAAGTGCACAGGTACATTCAGTACAAAGGAAAAATAGGACTTGGTGACCCATGTTTCCCTTCTCCCCTAAGTTCTAGTTTGTACATTCCACTACAAAGAAGGATATCATGCCACTGGTTGACTACAGTGAGCTCCATCAGAACAATGAAGGAAGATGCAAAGTTGTTGAAGTTGTTCTTGCAGTATTTTCCACGGGCAAACAAAGAATCCTTGAGAGCTGGGTTTCCACATTCCAAGGCATAAGGAGCATTTGAGTTTGCAGGGAAGAACTGGATTTTCCCATGGAATAACTCCATACCAATTATAGCAAATATACAGTACACAACCTGGGAAGAGAAACACCATTACAGGCTTCTCCACTGAGCAGAAAGCCCTGTGACAGGTTTAAAAGCTCCAGCAGACTTCTTACTGATACAACAGTCTGTGGAAGAGTAGCATAGTCTAAGTGATTCAGCCCCTTCAAAAACAACTACTTGACTTATTCCTGCCCAGGACTGCAAACCAAATATACAGAAACGAAACATCAAATCCTAAGAGGAAAACTTATTTTTAAAAAGCAATTTTAGAAAATAAGTGTTCTCATTCAGCTTCTTGCCCAAACCATAATTTGATTCATGCACATGCGAAGATGTGCCGTAACTAAGAACCAAATGTACACTGATTTTCAGTGGCTCAACATCCAAACATCTGCATTCATTCTCTTGAAAAACCAGATGTGTATGAGACTTAACACGTTCCTGCTAAACTGAATGCTTTGAACTAAGATACCAGGTTTTCTTACCAGAGTCAGCCCTCCAAACGTCAGCATGGTCGGCACAATGTTTATCAGCGTGTTCATGATGACTCGGAACCTACAGCAGATGAATCATGATAACACCTACTGTGGGGAGGCTTTCTTTTAAAGCTCATGCTTACTTATCACATCCCATCCAGCATGAGCTCTCCCACATATCCTTATTTATTGCTGCAAAGAGGTTGCAGCAGCTGGGTTCATCCCAGGCAAGTTGAGACAAGGCCTTGGGATGTCTTGAATTGCCATGATCAATCTTAAGCAGCCCTACAGAGCAGCTTAAAGCACTGTTTCTGCCAGCCTGATCCAACTCGCCCCACAAACATATCTCTACCCCATTCTGTTCATCACCTTTGTATGCTGTCAACAATCCTTATTAGCCGGAGGACCCTTAATATGAAGACAATGTCCAGGATCTGTTGACTGTTATACTTCGTGGCTGAGAAAAGAAAAAAAAAGATGTCTTCTGAAAAATAAGCATGTAAACTCTTACAAATGTAAGCACGTGCTATGCCCTTGTTAAACACTTTAAAAAAAAACACAACAGGTAATCATTAGTGGGGGGGAGGGGGAAAGCTTGGTTTTTAAGAACCCTATAGAAATTCCATTATCCTGCCAAAAAGCCTCCCAAGACCAAGATGATGGCAAAAGATAACTCAAAACCACCAAGTCTCCCAGATGCATGCAGGCTGCTCAAGCTGCACTTACTCGATTTCAGGGTGGTATTGAGTATCGTTGCAGTCAAGGCAGCAAAGATGATGAGGGTATCAAACCTAGCATGAGGGAAGGCAGTGCTGTTAGATTTGTGGGCAACACAGAATGGGCACTTAAGCTCCCACATGACATATATGAGAAGAAGGGTCACTACTTCTGTGTGGCAGACAGCCCTGCTTCATCTCAGAATTATTTGCAACAGAGGAAGGTGGGAAAGCTTTATTTAGCAAAATACTTTCCCCTGCCCAGCCACTACTCTCATAAACTGCAGTCACATTGACTGGAGCTAGCAGAGGGCCAGAGAACAGCAATCTGTTAGACAGGAAAGAGTACACTGTCCTCTCATGCATAAACTCATTTTAACTGCATCCTGGAACATGAGTTGTCTCTGGAAGCCTATTTCCTCAGACTTTCACTTCTTGACAAACTGAAGACATCTCACTGAAATGCACACTCACCAGTTCCAGAACTGATTCTTGCCAAAGAATGCTCTTGGTTCATACGTGTATACTTTCAGGAGTATCTCAATTATATATAAAGCAAGGAAGACCCACTCTGCATAAGAAATATAAGGGCTTTCCTCATCCAGAGCAATGAAGATCGCATTTATTAGTATGATCACATCATAAGTCCAAACAAATCCCCTGCAAGTAGAGAGAAAAAAAACAACAAAACAAAAAAGGTAAAAATTGGTTACTTCAGACTTCATTGCCTCCTCCCTCTGCCATTATAATTTAAGCAGTTACTCATCAGCTTCTGCAAAATCTGCATTTTGGGAAGTTACCGTGGAGTTGAGTTTTTAAGTCTAACACATTACACAGCCTTCAAGGTACACCACTGTCAGTACTTTCAGCATCAAGCTCTCAGAAATTTATTACAACTGGATTTCCACCAAGTCCAGCAGCATTTATCAAGCAGAAAAACTGGACAAATAAAACAGAGGAGATGGGTATGCTACAATTAGATGGAACTGAATGAGCTGGGAAAGTGAATGGAGAGAAGCCTCATCATGTTCAAACGGAAATGCAAAGTCCTGCTATGGTGAAGACCTGGAGGAAGGCAGCTGGGCAGACTGGGGATGGATCAACTGAAAAGCAGCTCTGCAGAGCACCTTGCTGGTGATGCATGGAGGGAGGGGTGTCTCGTTCTGCTTGTCGACCATGAGCCAGCAATGCACCCTGCTGGCAAAGCTGACCAACAGCATCCTGGGCTGTCTCAGTAGAAGAGCTGTGAACAGGTCATGAACGCTGAAGGACTCGTTTGAGTGCTGTGGCAGGATCTGGGCTTCCCAGCATGAAAGACTGGAAACTACTGGAGCTTGTACAGCAAAGGAGCACGAAAAACGATTAAAGAATAGATTAACCTGACACACAGTATTGAGAGACCTGGTGATGTTCAGCCTGAAGGGGAGAAAGGTTGGGGGAAGGGAGGGAAGTCTTAATGTGTATAAATACCTGATGGGAGGGTGTAGAGAAGATGGAGCCAGACTCTTCTCAGTGGTATCCAGTGAAAGCACAAGAGGCAATAGGCACAAATTGAAATACAGGAAATCTTGTTTAAACAAGAAAGCTTCTTTCCCCTTCTTTTTGACCATCCTCAATTTTAAACACTGGAACAGGTTGCACAGAGGTTGTGGAATCTTTCCTTGCATATATTCAAAATTCAAGTGGACAAAACCTTGAGTAACCTACTCTACCTGACCCTGCTTGGAGCAGACTATCTCTGGAAGTCCCTTCCAACCTCAGTAACTTCTGCATTTCTGGGAAGACTCAGATGTGAAGCAGAGCACTAGCAGCAATCAGTACTAGTTTAATAAAAGCTGATGAAACAATACAGTGCAGATTTACAGCAGACTGCTGACTTAAGATCATCGCTTTCATAAAAATCATAGGAATGGCCTGGGTTGAAAGAGACCACAATGATCATCTAATTTCAACCCTCCTTCTGTGTGCAGGGTCACCAGACCAGGCTACCCAGAGCCACATCCAGCCACTTTCCAGTAAAGCCTTTAGCCTGGTCCTTCCAGGTAGGCCATAATGCACTCCCTGCTTTCAGGGAAAGCTATTTACACTCAGCACATATAGAAGAACAAGAATAATTGGAAGAGAGACAGAACCACCAACATCCAAGTCTACTTTCTCCATACCTAGCAAAGGTAGACTAAAAGCAGCTAATTTACAGAACATTTTCTAAATCAGAACCCCCCAGCTTGCCTGAATAGAGTTTGCACTTTTCAGCATGACACCCAGAAGAGTATTTACTTACAACAGCACTGTCTTGCAGTGTTCTACATGTTAGGAGCTGCTTGCTCCACCAATACAGACTTACCTGTGCCTAACCACGCTGCGCAGGAACTGACTCACTGCTGACTTGTATACACGAGGCATCCACTGCCCCAATGGATGGCTGCGTATTTTCAGGGTAATCACCTGGATGTTGAGCAGATCTGCCAGCTGCACAAAGGACTTTTTGTCTGCAGCAGGGAGAGAGCACTAAACATCAGTCCACTTCATTTAAAAAGTCCTGTCTGGCAAACCTACATGCATATAAGTCGTAGCAATCTGGACTCAATACCTCTGCAGCCAGCAAAGCACAAGCCCAAAGAGATATCCACCACAAAACAGGTAGAATTCAGTGCTCAAGCAGTTCCTCTGCCCCATTCCTGACAGATTGGCTTAAAGCGAGGCCAAAAACCAACAAAAACCTTTAATGATCTAGCATGATGAGACTGGCCCATCTCTCCCAGTATTCTGTCCCCAGACAACACAAAGCAAGTGGCTCTAACAGAATACGTGCTATGTTATTTGGAGGAATCTGCTAACAAGGGAAGTGGTCTTTGTCCTGTGCTGAGAAGAGGAAGAATCTTTCTTCATAGGGAACTTGGCCTGATGACAAACAGCCATGAAGAACTGCCCACAGCATACAGCACAGGCACTAAGAACAGCCTTTCAGGACCTCAGTAATCTGGAGAGGGAAGTAGGGAAGTCAGTCCCTCTCAATCCATTACATAACATGAGTCCCAGAGGCAGAACCCTGGAACCAGGCTCCTGATCCCAGCCTCCTCCCCAGTCCCTGCATACAGCAGGCCCCACCGCTCACCTATGAAACCCTTCTGCTCATCATCTGAGATGCGTAGCAGCAACTCTCTGTGGGAGTTGCTGATATCAGGAGCCACCAGCTTGACAAGCTGCTTCCACTGGGCTTCTCTAACCACAAACTGCGTTCCCTCCTCTTCCTTCAGGAGGTTGAAGGCCTCTATCATCTTGCGGCGCTTCATGTAAGCAAGCGTACGGATCTCATTCTAGAAAGAGCAAAAAGATTCAGGCAGCTTCAGTCACACTTTCCCCTTCTTTGTTGACCTTATTTCCCTAGCACAGAGACAGAAGAAGAACAAGTTTGGAGTGATACTAGACATGATGTAGAGCAAAAAAATCAATGGGGTGATGAGAAATGCCATTTAACAGGCAACCACAGGCCTCTGGAGGGATCACTGGATTGCTTACTGCTGGGAGATGCACTGAAACAAACGGAAGGGAAGACAAAGGATAGTATCTAACAGGAAGGAGATGAGGCAATATCTCCAAAAGATCACAGGATCTGCATGCCTGCGGGTCACAAAAGGAAAGAGGATATGTCCACACACATTTGCCATCTATAAGGGAATACTGCTGACATCAGGGGTGGAGATCTTTTTCTCTACAAGATAATAAGCAGACTATAGAAGCTCATAACCTTGGGAAAAACCTAGCAGACTGCTTACTGGATAGGAGAGTCAATCCCCTCATGGGGCACCCAGGAATTTCCAGCTCTCATCCTTTGATCACACTTATCCAAACTGTGCCTACTCATCTGGTGCAGAAGAAACAAGAGTTCAGATTACTTCAACCTTCCTTCATATTTCCCTTGCTCCAAGAGTCCATAAAGTGGCAGAAGTAGTCTGCTGTGTACTTACAGCCAACTGAAAACAGCCTGCATAGGAGCAGTGGTTTTCTTTGCTAGAACTAATCCTCTAACAGACATGCACCTCCTACCTGTTTCAAACACACCAGAATAGAGTATTTCATTTTCATATACTTAGAATTAGCAGTAATCTCCACTATATGAAAAGCAGACCAGTATAGGCTGGAAGCTATATGTTATTCAGGACAAGCTGTTCACCTTCTCCACATCTTGTAGAAGTCTCCCAAGGGAAGGCCAGATGCCCCCATGCAAGGTTATACAATACAGCAGGTAGTTACTGATCACAATTCACCCCTCTATTACCTTCAGGTGTTTTTTGTAGTTGTTATACACAACAGCCAGGAAGAGTGACATGAAGATGTAAGTGTTGATGATGACAAAGGCAATGAAGAACAAGGCATACCACGAGCTGAAGTCAAATGCTGGCATCCTAGAGAAAAGAGAGATTACTTGCTGAGCAGACAGGGAAATAAACAAAACCAAACCATCTTCCTGATGAATTGCAGAATGTTTTGGACAGCCAGGTGAGACATCCTGGAGGGAAAAAAAAGAAAAAGGAAAAACCAAGAACTCTGTGTATTAGTTAAGTTACAAAAGTTTAATTCCACCAAGTTTGACTCCTGTGTTTAATTGGTCCCTCACTCGTATGACACAGAAAAGAAAGCACAGATTAAACTTCTGTCAGCACGACTAAGTTCAGACACACCGAGCCTTGAGGTGAGGTCTCAGTCATACTGTTGAGTTATTGGCTTCAGGGTCCCTCACTGCACTTCTGCAAGTTCCCTAGGAGAACAATTTGTATTTCACCACTTAAATACCTGGAGTCCCCATAACACTCCAGTTCTGTTCAGTACATCTCCAGCACACAAATGAGAGTCTCACTCCACCCTCAATCCCATCTTTCCCAATGAAATGGTAACAACTCAGAGCAAGTGAGGATCAGAAGTCCAAGCCTCTTGTAAGTTTAACACAGTTGTACAAGTTATGAAAGTCAGCATACACATCCCTGCAAACATCATGAGATGAGAGACATCCAATCACTAGAGCACACTTTCTTTTAATGAAAATGTTCTAATCAAAGAGCTAGGAGATTTGTCTCTTAGATCAATGCCTTACTCAGCTGATGGATCTTTTGGAAAGCTTTACTTTCAATGCATCTTTTAAAGAAGTCCTCCCAACCTGTGGGGTCAGGCCTCAGACTGTGGTTCAGAGGCCATCTATAGAAGAGATAGGTAACAATTCTTGAAAATCCTACAAACTGGAGAAGTGAGAGCCCCATTGCCACTCTGAAAGACATTGCTTTGCACAACAGTACTGTTTAACATGAGACCCTGCCAGGATGCACAAAAGACAGTACTTAGCTGAGTGTAAGCATTCAGGTTTAGTTGTTGCATCAATGTACTTTTTGGTTACCTAGTGCCAGAGGGATAGGAAGCTGAGAAAAATACAGGAGCAGAACAGAGTTCCTCATAAGTAGGTAGTATTAGAAGACTCTTCCCTGCTCCCCTCTCACATTCCCCAAATGTAGTAAGTGATGTCACCTGCCAGAGATGAAGCTGTGATCAGCATATCACAACACAGTTGTTATTTTTCCCCTACACTAGGAGCACGACACCAGCATTTGCAACACAAAGACTACAAGCTCAGCATACATACATGACATCCGGGCTGTTTGCAGTCGTCACCAACACATAGAGGTCAAACACAATTTCTAGGTAGTCCCTAAAATATGGCAAGCCTTCTGCTGTCTGGAGGTTCCTAGGAAGAAGGCAACAAGCTGGTGTTAAGCACAGAGGCCATATCCCACTCCAGCAACTACAGGTATCAGCACTTTGTATTTAGCAGAAATCATCTGGAGTTGCCAGATCCCTTCTATTCACGAGGAATCACAGCCATTCATCCCCCCCATACTCTGAACAGCAACAATAAAAAAAAAAAAATGTTTTCACACCTCTCACCAAACAGCTTCAGAGCCATGAGGGAGAACATGAGAAGGCTAAACATGAAGAGCAAGAAGACATAGGTGATCTCTGGCAGCGTATTGCGGATGCTGCGGAAGGCTCTTCGTATCTGTCAGGGACAAAGGCAGTGTTTAGAAGCAGTACCCACTTTTCCTATCACCATCCTATCAGGTGAGAACACCTACACAGGGACAGGCAAGCACAGTGGGACACAGGGCCTTGTCTGTTGCCTGGAAGGAAGGATTCTGACTGCATGAGTTCTTCCTACACTTACACAAGTTTGCCTAGGATAAGAAAAGGAAAGCTCTGCTACTCAGGCAAACCTGTGCAAGAGTACCAGAGCTTTCTTCTTCATCCTCCCAGCTTACATTGCATTGTAAACTCCATTAGGCAAGGGACAGACAGCCCTGTGGCATCACTGCAGTGCTCTTGCTCTAAAGGACTGGTCAGAGACAGAAGTCTGTCACTCCAGGGCACTAAATATGCTCTGAGCTTGAGAGTTCAGCTGCTCCCTCCTCCAGGCCTCCACAGTGTAACAGTTTATTTGCAAATCAGAACAGAATAGTCTTGGGTAGCAGGGCAAAGATCTCCCTGTGACAGTAGGGACCAGAGTCCAAACCATCCATCTGGACCACAAGCTCAGTTTGGAGAACTGTGCAACATTTGTGCTTGTTTGCCTAGGAGACTTCCAGAAATAAGTAACTTGGCCCCAGTCTCAAGGAGAAGCAGTTTTCTTGTACATACTTATACATACTGCTTGCATTTACTACTTCTGAGAGTAGCAACTAACTGCTTGCAAACAGACATTGGTCTTCCATACAGGAAGAAGGAATCAGAGCCCATAGGCTGAACTTATGAGAAACATTATTCTTTCCTCCATACGGTGTCAGTCTTTAACAGAAATGACATGACAGCACTGTGTACAGCAAGATGCTCTGGTTTCATTCCCAAGCTTGTTCAGAGCTCTGGACAGCAGCAACCCAATCCACAATCTTAGGAAGATGCAGTACCTTGCACTATGCCCAAGCAGCATTCCTTTGCATGTACCCTTTTCTCTAAGTCTTGCTCCAGGTCACCTCAGAGAAATTCATTCAAGGAGTCTGAATTCTACTATTCTACTACATTCCCTTGGTTCTCAAAAAGCAGCATGCTGTTCAGAAGCAGTAATTCCCAGTAGATCCATTCCTTACCTGGCGACTCTCTGCAAAGTTGACCAGGAAGATGGGCCTCACTATTCTGGACCATCGAACACTCTTAATATTGTATATCCTGAGGGCCCCATATATGGCCAAATCAGTCAGAGATAACTGTAGAAGAAAGAGGATAAAAATGCACAGAAACAAAGCTAATCCAATTATCTTCACCATCTAGACGAGCCAGATGCACACACAACAGGTTTGTGAGAACAGGCTGATGTGCCAATTGGTTTGGCCATGGCCCTTGTGCAACAGACCCCAAAAAAGACACAGGAGGAACAAAAAGCTGCCTCCACATAGCCTAGCTCAACTCTCGTGATCCCAAGACCTCACTCACCAGGATTGCAACCATGATGCAGATGTTCTTGGTATCCTTCCAAAATACATTACGACGGGTGATTTTTGCAAAATGCATCAGTCGGCCAAAGAACACCAGAAGGCACAACACCTCCACTAAAGAAGTAGCCTGCAAACAGAAAAGAGACTCCAGTCAAGACTAACAAAAGCAATGCTAATCCTCTCCATACAGATAATGATTCTCAGGCTGAGGGTGCAGGTTAGAGCCAGTAACTTTGTATTTGGTTAGGATTTAAGGAGCACATCAATCACAAACACTGGTGCAGAAAAAAAGGCTGGAAGTATGGAAGGGAGCAATGTGACACAATCACATCAACCATTGTGGATGTCCACAGGACCATATCTAGTTTTTATGCCCATTTTTGACCCCATTCCAGCATATGGGAAGTATGAACAGGAAGATCAGCAGCAAGCACCTCTTTACACCTTGATAACTTGTCACAAGCATGAAATACACCACTGAGCCAACACAATAGTAGTTGCATTATCAATTCTGCACTGCCTGGAAACTCACCAGGAAAGGGAGTGGATACACAGCAGGTTCTTCAAACACTGCCAGGGAGAGGTTGAGAAAGATGAAGATATAGGTGGCCGTTCGCATAAACCAGTGGTTATACAGATAATAAAGCCTGTAGAGAGAGGGTAGTGGCACCATAAGTAAGGGGTTCGGTGTATGCACCCACATGGTCAGCAAGTCTGTCTTGGAAGAACAGCACACTTCCCAAACAGTAAAGGAAAAAGGGTACATCAGCATAGATAGAACAGGGAAGTGTTCAAAAGTTTCTGTCAGAGTAAGCTTTTCTATGTAGACACACAAGTCAAGTAGTATTCTGTCCTCTCTAGCAAAGCCTCTGATGACTGCTGATATTAACTACAAACACATCAGGCTCTCAATCTTCCACATATAGCTATATAATAGTGGCTCCTTTTGGAGCACATCCACAGAAAGAGCACGAGGTTTCTCTGCTAATATATAGGATGCCTGTGTTGCCAGGTAATCATCTCACCCACCTAATCATCACCCCAAAGGTACAAGGGGGGGTGATAAAATGAATGACAACACTATGTCCTTAACAATAACACTAAGATACCACCACCCATTTCAGCTATTCAGATACTTAGGCAGTACAAAACTCCTGAAGCTTCAGTAGCTGAGCTAAGAGAATTAAAAGTGTGACCAACGTTGTAAAAGCAGCTAAACAGGAGAGTCAATACTGAAGGCAAAATAGCTTTGGTTTTGGGAATTTCATTTGCTTAAGTGCCAATTAACAAGCTTTTGGTGTCTTCTTGCTTCTAGCAGCCACTGCCCTTGCTAAAAAGCACCTAAGCAGAGACACCACAAGCTCTTAGGATTAGCTGAAGCACTGGTGCACATGGGGCTGTTGCCATCATTACCAAGCCAGCTGGCACAGGGCTGTTCTCCTACCAGAACCCTGCCATTCACACCCCACACAGCCACCTTCCAGCACTTCCTTCCAAGCACTGAGCTGTCCATGCTCATGATCTCTGCTAGCACTACAGCTTCATTCTGGTTTTTGCTTCCAGAAAAGAAAGAAAAGTTTTCATTTGTCTTCCTATAAGACACACTGAATTGTATTTGATATACATATTCCAACTTCAATTCAGCCCTTTACAAGAAGGCCTCTCAGCATTCCATCTTGGCCTCACAACCACCATACAGCTCAGCACAGCTCCGCAGACACAGGCTGGCTCCCTCCAACAGAGAACTACTGAGGTTGGAAAAGACCTCTGAGATCATTAAGTCCAACCCCAACCCATCCTCACATCCCTCACTGCCACATCCCCGCGGCTCTGGGACACCTGCAGGGACGGTGACCCCACCACTCCCTGTGCAGCTGTGCCACTGCCTCGCTGCACTTTGAGAGAAGGAACCCACCCCAGCCCCCCCCAACCCCAGGCTGCCTGCAGGAGCAGAGCCCTGCAGACCCCCTTACCTGACAGCCTCGGGGGAAGTCTTAAAAGGAATATTTCTGTTGTACTGCGCATCAGAGACAAACGCTGCTGCCAGCAGGAGCTCCTGGGGAAGAGACACGGGTCAGAGGGTGCTGGGGGGCGAAGGAAGCACCCCGGGGAGACACCCCCACCCTAAGGCGGACACGGAGCACACATCGCCCTGCACTCCCTGCCGCCTCCCCAGCCCGAAGAGAAGGGCGCTACCTGTGAGACAGCCTCAGCCATGGCCAGGGAGACGCTTCAGCCCCCCCCGCCGGCCCCGCGGCATTTAACGGGCCCGCCCCCGCCAGCGGAAGCGGGAGGCGGGCCGGGAGGAGGAGAGAGAGGAGGAGCCGCCCGCAGCGCACATCCCCGCGACCCCGATGGCGCTGGAGGCGCTGAGGCCCCGCGCCGTGCGCTTTGCGCTGCTGGCCGCCTTCGCCGCCGGCGTGCTGGTGGGCTGGCAGGCCGCCCGTGCCCGCCGCCGCTTCCTCCGTTGGCGACAGAACCGCCTGCAGCGCCGCCTGGACGCCGCCCGGGAGCAGCTGGAGGCGGCCTGAGCCCGGCACCGCCGTCCTCCGCTCCGCTCCCGTTCCCTCCCTCCGCGTAAGCCGCCCTGCTCTCGGCGTCGCCGTGCATCGGAGCGCTGCGTCTCCGCCGCTTGGCGATGCCCCGGACCGCCGCCGATCCACCGGCCGGAACCGATCGCGCCGCGGCCTCGTCGATACGATCGCTGAGGACGCGGCACGGGGACACGCGTAACGAACGACGGATCTCGGCGTGACAGAACGCGAGCGGGACGGACCGCGCGGGGGTGACCGAGCAGCGCGCTGCCGCACGAACGGGAACATTAAATCGGTGTTTGTACGTTGGACTCGCACTGCGTTCCTGCGCCCCGCTCACTGCGTTCCTGCACCACGTGGGACCGGTGCCCAGCGCGCTCCCGGAAGTGACGTCATCTCAGTGCGCCGCGCCACCCGTTGCCTAGCGACCATGACGGGGCGGCGGGCGCGCGGCCCGCTGCAGCGAGTGCAGCGACGGAGCCGGGAGCTGCGGGCACAGGTACCGGTACCGGCACCGGCAGCCGCTCCGCCGCTGGGGAGTCCCTTCCGGCGGCTGACGGCGCTTCTCGTGTGTTGCAGGTGGAGGTGCTGCGGGTAGAGAGCGCGGGCGCGGCCGTCGGGCGGCGAGAGGCCCTGAGGCAAAGGTGAGGCGGTGCCTGCGGAGCGCGGGCCGCGGCCTCAGCCACAGCCCGGAGCGGTGTGAGCGGCGGTCGTACACGGGCTCAGTGCTGGAGATGGCTTGAAAGGACCTTAACGATCACTGAGCTCCAACCCCCAGCCGTGAGCTGGCTGCCCCCAGCTGATCCGACTGCCCAGGGCTCCATCCAACCGTGGGCACACCCAGGGATGGGGCATCCTCAGTTCTCTGGGCAGCCTGTGCCAGTCTCACAGCCTCTGAGTGAAAATTTGCTTTAACACCTAACCTGAAATTCCTCTCTTCCACTTTAAAGTTTGTCCTAACATTATCAGAGTGTAAAAAGTTGCTCCCCCTCCTGCTTATGAATTCCCTCGAGGCACAGTAACGCCATAGCGAGGTCTCCCTGGAGCCTTCTCCAAGGAAGAAGCACCTGGAGAAATGCTTCAGCCCTCTGAGCATCTTCATGGCCCTCCTCTGGACCCACTACAACAGCTCCACATCTTTCTTGTGCTGGGGGCCCCATGCCTGGATGCAGTACCGCAGGTGGGGCCTCAGGAGGGCAGCGCAGAGAGGAGACAATCTGCTGCCACCTCTCTGTTGTTGCAGCCCAGGACTCTGTTTACCTTCTGGGCTGCAAGCATGCACTCCTGGCTCATGTCCAGCTTTTCATTTGCCAGGACTCCCAAGTCCTTTTCCACAGGGCTGTTCTCATTGACTTCTTCTCTCAGTCTGCACATACCTGGGATCGCCCTGTCCCAAGTACAACACCTTGTACTTGACCTTGTTTGGTTCACACAGGCCCACCTCTCAAGCCTATTCAGGTCCCCCTGTATGGCATCCGTTTCCCTGTTGTATCAACTACACCACTCAGCTTGGTGTTATCAGCAAATTTGCTGAGGGCGCACTCAATCTCACTGTCAGTGTCACTGATAAAGATGTTGAAGTACACATCCAAAGTGAGACCGTGGGGGACACCACTCATCACCTGCCTCCACTTGTGCTGTGCCAGGACACAGAACCAGGTGTCTTGCTGAGGTTCAGCCTGGGAAATCACCAGAGCCTCTACTTAATGCAGTGTTACCTGGTCTTTTGGGCATTATGGAAAGCAGGGGTTCGATGCTGAAGAACTTGCATGGTGCAGTGGCACTCCTAACTTCCCCCCAAGTAGTACTAGGGCAGCAGCAATGGGCTCCTTCGGCACCCTGCCCAGTACTGGGTTTGAGTGGGAATAGTGGGTGCCTGTGAGGTGATGTAGCATTGGTAAGCACGTAGGCTGTCTGAATTCCTCAAGGCTGAAGTTGTTTTAAGTGGGAACTTGCACATCACAGGTCATAAGCAGTTAAGCTGCACATTCCCTTTGTTCTTCAGGGATTCTTGTGTGAATGATTGTCACCAAGAACTTGTCAGAGCCAGGAGATGGTCTTATTTTGTCCCTCTGCTCCAAATCTTCTGTTGATGCTGCTGCTTTTGAGTTTTGTTAAAACGCCGCTTCTAAGGAAACAATAAACACTTGGTTTATGAAGTAATCTTTGGGATCATATTGGTATTTTTTGTAAAGCTTTGTGTGCATACAGCTGTGAGAAGGTATGGGCATCTAAATATACACGTTTCAGTGATTTTGCATGATTTCAATGTCAACCAGATTTAAGATAATGCTGTCTGCTGTCTTGCTTTCAATGCAGATGTTTGCAGCTGCAGAAACTGGTGGATGAGAATACAAATACTCTTCATAGTTTGAAAAAAGTAGGTATAGAGACTTGTTTATGGTCTTCTCCTTAACATATTGTGGTAAATATTCAGAGAATGCTAACCTTCTTCAATTTTAGATGCCTCAGGACAAAAGTAATGCCTAGCACTGCATAACCTGTGAGTGGGAATCTCTGAGATTCATTTATACTATGTCTAAAAACATATTTTTAATGTTTGTTATCTGCATTAAAATCTTTATTGACCCAATATATTTAAAGATGATCAACCCACTCCATTGTATTGGGAGAGGAGAATGTAGATTGAAAATATACCGTGGAACTTCATCTTGTTGAAGTAAAAGGCAAGAAAAATATCACTAAGTACGGAGTCGTCACTGCCCTGGAATATCAAAACTCATGAGATGTGTCTGTAAAGCTGTCTTTATAGGGAAACCTTAAATTTGTTATATTTTCCTTTCTCAGGCTGATGAGCCTGCACCAGTGGGGAATTATAACCAGAGGAAAGAAGAAGAAGAAAAGCTATTGCTAAAGTTATCCCAGCAGCTGCAGAAACTTGATCATATCTTGGATCAGGGTAACGCAGCTACAAATGACACGGTGTAAGTAACCCAAACAAAGCATCTGTACTTTAACAGAATCATACATGCAGCACTGGAAAGGACCCTCAAAGTCTGCTTATCCTCTGTATTAGCTATTAAAACATTGCAGAAGAGCTGGCTTTTCTGGGGCTTGTTTTATTAATGAAGTCAAGAAAGCCTCGCTGCAGTTTTCTGATGATTTTGGTTAATGGCTGAAATACAATGCAGGTTGTACTGTGGTCTGTATTCTTAGGGATGAAATACTATTTCAAGTCAGGCGAGGGACTAAAATGAGGCTTTTGTACCTGGATAACATAGGGAAGCCCACGTTGTAAGGCTTTTACAGCAATTTCAAAAAGATTTATTGAAAATTAAAAAATGAATCAAAAGTTTGATTTATTTTGAGTAGGAATGAGGGACATCAGAAAGATCCTCAAAGAGAAGACAAAGATAAAGAAGAGGATGAGAGTGCTGATGACAGTGGAGAAGGTAGTGAGGAAGAAGAAAGTGAAGAAGCAGATGAGGAAGATGAGGATAAATTGTTGGATGATCCTGATGTTAAAGAATGCATTGCAGTGGGAAACTTTAATGCACAGCAGGAAGGGGACCTTACATTTACGGTAAGTAGGTCTCTGCAAAAAATTTATTGCCATGTTGGTACTGCAGGTCATTCTTTATTAAGCAGTAGCAATAATTAAATCCTATGCTTTTGGGATTCAGAAGGATTTGGGAAGAAAGGCTTTCCCCAGTCTGCATTTTTCTTACTGGAGTTCAGTGTTTTCTTGCCTCTTTCTGTAGCACCAGAGTCTAGTCTGCGACCTGTAGGGAAAAATTGAATTGTTGTTCATACTGTGTTTGGCATCATATTGAAATATTCGGTTGTCTTTTTTCTCTCTCTCTCCCAATGGCAAAGAAAGGTGAAGTCCTGCTTATACATGATAAGAAGGCGGATGGCTGGTGGGTGGCTGAGAACTCAAAAGGGGAGAGAGGCCTCGTGCCTAGAACCTATCTTGCGGTTAGTGTGCTGCGACCTTCTTCTGTTCTAGTCTCACCTCTGTAATGTTTTGTACATTAATCATCATATAGCTGCATGAAATTGGTCACAGAGCTTACATGTGCACACAACAGTATCTTACTGCCATAATCTTTGCCACTAAAGATCAGCTCTGAAGACTCCAAGCTGTAGTGGACTAATACTTGCTTTTCATGATTTGTATGAAGTGCCAGTTCACATAGAAGCTGGATTATGTTGTGATTTGATGTGAAAAGACCTTTTCAGAAATAGCTTTTTCAAGTTTTGTTTCCTCCAGCCTTTTTTTTAATGGCTTACTTGTGTTAGTATGTTTATTCTTGTGTACGTATCCAGTGGACAGCTTTGATGGATATGTAAATGTGGGTACACAATTTGGCTCTACTGAGCCCTGCTAGACTGACCTTCACACTCTTGAACAGTGCTTTTCAGAACATAGGATTTGTTGGGTAGCTGACTTTTCTACCTTAGAGAGCTTTTGTAGGAATACTCCAATCTGTTGCTGTAGGCGCAGATCTGAGGTCAGTGTTGTGCAGTGACAGTCGTTACGGACAGAGTGTCTCCTCTTCTAAGCCATTCACATGTGCTGTGGTTGGAGAAGACATTTTTAAGAACAGAACTGTGAAAAAAACCAGCACTTGTCCTTTCTGAATCTGAATTACAGGTCCATAATGAAGATGAAGAAAGCCAAGAGGAAAGTGATGAACACATAGAAGTGGTGGATGAAACAGCAGATGGCACTGAAATTAAAAAAAGGTAAATGGAATGATGCAATGGCAAATAAGTATGAAGTTGGCCAGCTGCTA